ATAAAAATTAAAAGGCTTCATCTACATCAACCTTCATGTACAGAGGCCGCAAAAAATACTATAATGAGCCACCAAATGGCCCGCAGGCCACATATAGGTCACCCCTCCTTCAGATTGTGTAATAAAGCAGTACTTTGCATTAGTCTCATCATGTATATTCCAGCTGAAATACACAGTAGAGTTTGTGGCTTTAACATAAAAAGTCTTTCTCCTAATGTTTGCTAACATTAGGAGAAAGAGAAACAAGCAGTTCTTCTGTTTCTTTTCACCCAGGCAACAAATATTTGCTATAACAGAAAGTGAAAAAAAAAAAAAAGGAAATTAAAGAGTCTGTCCTATTTCTTTACTTCCAAAACAAAACAACAGAGAGACGGGAGGCGGGGAGAGGAGGACAAAGATAGATCTGGAGGTAGAAAGAGGAGGTGAGAAAACATAAAGGCAGAGAGGCTGAAAGGGATTTATATAGTGAGTTATGCAACTAAAAGGCGCCAGTGATATCAAACGCTCTGCCTTCACTGGAGAAGACGTTGCTTTGAAATAAAATAAACCTGTCGTAAGTCATGGCGCAGCGTTTTGACAGGATCTGGTGTTGGCTTCAAACATAAGAGAGAACAGTTGTTCTCTAAACCAAAGGTGACAACCTTTACTTCATGTGAAATACAGAACATTATAATTTTCTCAGCGCAGACTTTCATTTGGCAGCTGATATCACAGTTTACCTTCATGTTGTAAAAGCATATTTCTTCAACATGAAGCTCCAAACAGCTCAATTAATTTCGCTGTTGTTTTTAAAGGTGGATATTAATTAAAAAAACCCAAAAGAGCCTTTTTGTCATTTAGACACACTAAATATCAGAAAATATGTACATATATGGAAAATGGCTCAACTTTAAATGTCATTTATAAACTGAAGTTAATTTAAATTTTAATGCATTAACATATAAAACACTTCACATTTCAGAATTTGTTTGTATGATTAACATTGGAATACTCTTCATTTACAAGTAATAAAAAGTTAAATATCATCAACATAGTATTTATAGGAGATATGTTAAAAGATTAGCTCTATTGCTAACTGTAGCATATGTAAATCTTCATCTTCCATTATGGAGCTTGTCTCTTTCAAATAAATAGATGATGAATGATGTATAGAAAACCAATAATGTAGAAATTAAATGGGACCAAGGACACGACTCAGAGGAACTCCATGAACTCCAAGAGTAACAAAAACCGCAAATCAGCTTTTTGTTGCAGTTAGTTGTATAAATAAGGAGTTATATTTTGTTACTTTGAATAATGTGACATTTTTGCAGAAATTTGTTTATGCAATATTTAGCGTAAAACCGTCATAGTGCTGCCCTCTTCTGGTTGAAGGTTAGCTACTGCAGTTGAACTTTCCTAACTATAAAAACATCTCACTAAGTAACTTTTGAGCAAAATACAGGAACTTGTCTTGAGTAGATATTTCCTTTATATTGATGAAAAGGTACTAGTTCCATTGGTAAATTATTTCACTAATAACATGGATTTTTTTATTTTTTTTTGCTACAGGCAGAATAATGCACCTAGTACTTTATAAAACAATATTAAGGAATTATATACTTTAAAAAGCACCTAAATTTTATAAGTTAGTTGTCTTATTTCAAGTTTGCAAAAGTTGAACTAGAAACTAGACAAAAACATTGATTTTTTTTGTTTTTGCAGTGTAGATTTGCCGTTTTTGAAAACAACCCCCAAAAAATGGCAAGAAAGTTTTTAAAAGCTAATATCGCAACAAAGTCCCGCTCTCTCAATTGGGAGTATAGCCCCACACTTGACCACGCCCCCAATTTTATTAAGCTCCGCCCACTTTAGGTGGAATTTTAAAATAATTTGTCAGCATTACGCTTTTAGTTCCATTTTAAGATTGTCTGAAATTCTACTTTGTAACAGAGATACTTCCAAATGATAAATATATATCTACTCAGAATTGTAACAAATAAACCTTTGACAGAAAATCATATACAGTTGACCGTTACCAAGACTATGGATTCTCCTGCATAATACATTAAAAACTCTCTGGACTGAAATGAAGTCCTTCAGAAGACATTAAAACTACTAAACAAAACAAATGTCTAACTTCTTTGAAATAAAATGTTGGTTTAAACATCATTCTTTCTCATCATTGGCCGTTTAGTCGCTAAAATAACAGCTAAATAGAAGAAAACAAAGAAAAAACAAAAAGCGAGTAAAAGCAAAGATATGCACTATGTAAAAATGTTCGTTTATCATAACACGGAGGAATTTCATTGGTTTAAATAATTTTTTCAATAAAAAGAACCCAACTTGAATTTAAAGTGAATTGTAAGTGTTTTATCATCCTTAAATCTACAATAACGTCCATGAACTGAAATGGTGACGGATGAATTAGTCACAAATCTCTCAATTGGAATGAAATCCAACGGATCAGGCTCATCATTTTACTTCGTACCTTTCTGATAAAAGAAGCCAGATAAAAGTTGACTTCTCTGTATTCACTGCTGCACATCTTTGCCATAAAAAGTCATTTTATGCAGTTTCACTCTTCTGCTTTCAGCCTGTTGGCTCGTCACACCCCAGAGACTCCACCCTGCGATCCTCTTAGTGCTTATCGGTGCATAGCTACACACACTCACCCCTACAGGCACACACACTCACACCTTTGCACCAATCAATACTAAACTTACAGAGGTAGCTTTTTTATCCAAAACTGAGCTAAGCTCCCAGGGGTGGCTGGTGCCACCAGGCTGCACAGGCTTTTGGCTTATTACATAACATTGTAGAGAAATGGAGAGGATATTAAAGGTGTGTTATTGGAAAATGTCACCATAGTAAAGCATCTTGAATGTTGTTTCACTTGTGTTTTGGTGCTTATTTTGTACAATTCAACTGAAAATAACAAAATATGTGTGAAACATTGTAACATTCAGTAAATTTATCCAAACTAATTTAAATAAAACTTGCTTCAGCATTCAGCTTTCTCAACTTCACACTTGTCGCTCATTAAGTGACTAATTAACGGGGGTTGTTTTTAAAATTACGGTCTAAAACTAACAGCAATCTCAGCTGGGGTTCATTTTTCAAAATCATATTTTCACCATGTTATTTGTTTATTTATCAGAGACAAAGTTCCAAATTAAACATTTAGTTATCTAGCTGAATGAGCCAAGTATTCAATGTAGCTTGTAATTAACAAGCTAAATATTTAGCAAGAAGTTAAATGTTTGGTCACTAAGCTAAATATTTAGCTTTCAGCAAACTAGAGTGAAGTTAAATATTTGACTTGTTTGCTATTACTGAGTTAGCAAGCCAAACATTTAGCTACAATTTAAATTTTTAGTTTGAAGCTAGATATTTAGTAAGCTAAATATTAGGTTTGCTGATATTCAGCTAGAAAACAAAATATTGAACTTCAGTATGAATATTTAGCTTGCTATCTAAAGATTTAGTTTGAAACAACATATTTAGCTCAATAAAAAGTTTATAAACTAAATATTTATTTCTAAGCTACAATTTTAGTTTGCAAGATAATATTTAGCTCCATAAATATTTTACTTTATAGTTATTTTTCTAGCAAGTTAATTATTTTACTTCAGCCTGAAGTTAAATATTTCTTTCAATTTGAATATTTAGCTTGCTAACTAAAGATTTAGTTTGAAGCTGCATTTTTAGCTAGCTTAAAACATTTAACTTGCTAATAAAATATTTAGTTACTCAAGTTTGAATCTACATATTACTGAAGTAAAAGTAAAACTTACAGTGTAGTAAAACTACTCCTAAAAGTTTTCCCCCAAAAAAGCTGTGGAAATAAATGCAACTAGTTACTACACTGAAAAAACATAGTGGAGTTCCAACTTAATTTCTTAAATATAATAAAATAATTTATTTATCAGTTTATTTATCATGACAACATAATAAACTTAATACATTGATAAACACAATTAACAGTTATTTTTTAAAGTTGAATCACTTGTCTCCTTTTTTCAGTGTATCTCCTCTGACTAAAAAGTGTTGAAGCTTTCAAATCTGGATTAAAAATATAATTAATTGCAACTTTTTAAATTACATTTACTGTTTTTGCCAAAGTACAAGAGCTTTGTGATTTTACAGTATTTCTTAAATATCTTGTGAATTATTACGTAATACAAATAAAATAACAATTGCAGATGTGTGGAAGAGTTTCTTTTGTCCAATATAAGACTTCAGATATTTTTTTTCACATGGGAAAATCTAATCTAATGAAACACTTCGTTCTCTCAAACATCAGTTATCTCTTCAGTATTTGAGCGTTTTGAGTGTGAAAATTGGGTCGGAAGTGTTGAAGTTAAAAAGGCTCGATCACATTTGGATTAATGCCTCATCGGTGTCTCCGTCTTTGTTTCCGTGTCATTTCATCATCTGGGAGATTTTCATCTTTTCTATCTTTCATGTTGGAGGAAAAGTCAGAAATCCGAGCAGCTGCAAAAGTATTTCTGTGGACAAATTGAAAGCTAATCTATTGAATATCTTTTAGAAAAAACAGCGACATGCAATATATTATAAACGTTCTTTTCAAGGGTAATTTTTAAGACAATACTGATGGATTCATTTCCATTTAATCCTTCGAACCTTGTTTCTTGCTCACAAGTTAATCAAAAAATCTTATAAAGACGACAGCGACTGTGTTTTCTCTAATTTCTGCTGCATTGATATTCCTCCGTCTCCATTCTTTTCCTTTGGAGAGTGTGGGCGGCAAAGCGACACTCCATCTCTCCCTCAGTCCCAGGATAAAGAAGTCTTTGTGACCTGGACGCCGCTTCAACCGCTGACGTTATCAGTACATTAATTGAATAAAAGAAAGCAACAATCCAACATTTAAAGACGGTTTATAAACGTCAAAGCTACTGCTTTTTTTTTTTTTATCACACCAAGGCGTTTAATTTAGTGAAATAAAGGCAGCTGACATCGACGAATGCGAGAAGTGGTGGACATTCAGCACTCACCATCCTCTTTGCATTCCTCCGGCGGCTTTGCCTTCTTGGCGAGCCTCGGGTCGAGCCACGACGTCGTCTTCGTGTTGTGGCTGTGGAGACAAACCAGAGAGCGAGTGAGCGGGACTGTGGTCGGCGCCGAGAGAGAGGAGGCTTCCAACAAAGATTCCTAACTCGACTCATCTGACGGGAACGTGCGCCTCCGAAAAGTTAAAAACACTCAACGGGAACTGAAGAAGAATCATTATTTCTAATTAGCTTACTGTCGCTCATTAGGAGGAAGAGGGTAGAAGAAGTGACAGATGAGAAGACAAATCAATGGAATGATTAGGGAACATTTTACGGAGCCTAAAGAAACAAACTGGACTGAGATTCGCTAGTAGCTGCGTTTGCATTGACTGTAAATTTGTGAAATTTGACCTTTTGAATGGAAACATGGCAATTTCTACTGAACATTTTGGTTTATTTTTTTTTTTATATCACAAGATCAACAACTCAGACATCACCACCAGCAAAAACCATGAAGAAGACATTTTTCCCATCTTATAAGTGAAATAATCTTCTAGTTGAACAAGCAATTTTTTTTGTTTTGTTGTTTTAAGTCATCATTTCTCTCATTGCTGGAAGACAAGCTTAGCTTGACCTTGATACATTATCTTTTTTGTGTAGTGTCTGAGAAAAAAATGCATCATATGTCAGAGCTGCAGCATAGCAGCTGCAGCTGCTATGCTGTCAAAACCCCGAAGTGGAAGAAACCCAGGAGTTCTGCACTTGAGTTCTTGTGAGAGATGAAATGTTCTTTCCACAAAGGGTGGTTTTATTCTTCAAAACCTCAAGTAAAGTAAAACATTTATTTGTTCTTGTGGAGTATATATCAGCCTTAAAGACATATGATACACTAAAGAGGCGTAGTGTTAGCTAATACATCAGCTAAAATGTTTTAAAATGAAGTCATTAATTGTTTTAGCACCTTATTTGGCGTAAAAAAGCTGTAAATGTGATGCATTTTGCTTCTTTGAACAGGTTAAGTTAGATGTATGGGCTGTGAAAAACAATTTTCTTTTCTTAGATAATTCAATTTTAGTCTGCTCCGTTCAACAATTACTCAACGCTTTCACCCGCATGTGAAAATGCCTGCAAACAAATCGGCAATTATACGATCATAGATCTTTGAAAATCAGAAGTGAAGCCTTCTGCACAATCAACAAGACTGCAGCAAGTGGCTTCTGGATGGTAAGTCAACAGCAAAACATTTCTATTCTTCCAGCAGCCATTGTACAGAGCATGTAGTGCTAAAACCAGCTTACCAAACATGCTGGAACTCTACTCGGGTTGCTAGGTAATGGGCAGAATTCCACTGCGGTTGCTAGGTAACAGCTCAGTGTCTGCTTATTTGTGGCTTTACATTTCAAAGGTTTTTGAAATGGTTTGTTTAAAGACACCAAAAAAAAACATCAAATTATCACCTAGAAATGCCCAGGTGGATTTTTTTTTTTTTAAGAAACATTTGAGACCCAGGTGAAAGTATAAAAAAGTGCAAAATGTGAATTTTACATAATAGTTCCCCTTCAAATGTCGCTATTAAAGTAACCTTTTATTAGCTGAATGAAATACCAACATTGAGATATCAGAGCTTTATCAAAGTGTTTGTTATTTGCAATAATACACACTTGTTTATCTTTGAACACGCTGTTAATTTTCCATTAAAAACGAATAAATGTGTGAAAGCCTCATGTGCTCAGAGGCACAAAAGTAGCTCGGGGGAAAAGCATGTGGTCATGAGTCATTAAATCGTAATTTGAGGAAAAAAAAATACTGGAGGATCTCAGTTTTAGTTCCTCTTCTCTGTCCTCTACTGAACTGGACTGAAGGATGAAACCGATGCTGGCTTTCCCAGAGCTAAAAATAGAAGACAAAGTGAAAGACAGACGCAATTTAAAAGAGATGAATGCGGCATATGAAGTTTCAGTATGGAGCCAAGTTGTGATGCTCTTCCAGGTGAGCTTGTTTTAATTCCTGTTTGATTCTTCTCCATCTGTCCTCCTCTTTCCTCGTTGACTCGTTTCCCTTTCTACTCGTCATCAATCGATATTTACAGTCCTTGGGCCCCCCACTCAATCTTTGCTGCTTTAAATCGCCATCGCTGTTTTTAACTTTATCTTTGTCAGCTCTTCTCTGCAGCTGCTTCACTTTCAGGGCTGTAGATGAATAAACTGATCTCATGTGGCGGCCAATCGCAGATAAGCAACGTCTTGGCAACAGCGATTAGCAAGCTACCACTTCAGGGGGGGCAAAGTAAATTAATTGGGTAATGTCCTCGGTGAATGAAGGCCACAATAAATCATCTCCAGTGGGGGGGGATTAAAAGTTTGCTGCTGTTGTAAATGAAGACAAAAAGTCTTCATGTATGGCTGCTGAACACACTTCAAACTAGTCTGAAAGATCCAATCGAGAAATAACTCAGTCACGAAGCAAAACATACAAAAATTATGTCTGCTTGAACTTTATTAGTGCGTGCACAAGAGTCAGTCTCTAAATACACGTTGAATTCCCTTCACACCAATTCAAAAGCACACGGCAACTCCATTATTCTTGCAGAATAAAGACTCACCTGCAGTTTTACTGCAGCTCTAAAGCACTAACAACTGCAATGAGCCTTTTACAGCGTAGTTGAGAGGAAGACTGGATTTCTGGGGACTTTGAAATCCTTATTAAAGCACCATGCATCCATTTATTTAGACTCAGAGCAAGCATTTTACTGAGACTAGAGCTTAACAGGCAATAAAAAGGTAAACATTGGATCATTGAGAGATTAGGCAGAAAAAAAAAACAAATGAAAAAAACTATTTTTGACTTATTTGGTGGAAAATACATTCTGAAAATAAGACAAATGGTTACAATTTGCCACTTTATTATGTCAGAGTTGGTCAGAGTTTATCCAAACTTCTGGTAAAAATGTGGAAAACGTTTTAAAATAAATAAATGCAGAGTAACTGCAGCATAATTTTCAATTGAGAAAAAAAAAGAAGCAATAAAGCCACTATTAACCCTCTCAGGCTCAAATTACTTGAAAAGACTGTTTAAGTTGTTGCAAATCTGCAACACCTGCCTGGAGAGGGTTAAATATCAGGGAATTTTGTGATTGGGATAAAATAAAAAATAAATCCTTTTTGGCAATTTTTTTTATTTTTTTCCTCTTTGTTCATAACCTTCATGGATAAACTTGGAGGCAAATTATGTAGTGAGTAAATCTCTCAGTAAAGCTTCCATACAATGCATTGGTAGCATCTCATTAAATGAAATTCACTGATGAGTGTCTAATTTTTTGGATATAACTTTCTCAGAAAGCACAGAAAGACATGCAGCAGATAAGTTAATATTGAACATATCAAATTTTTTTATAGTTTTATTATTTCTTATGGAGTTTTGTCACTTTAAATCCAAGTAAACATGTTGGAACTCTGCTTGAGTTGCTTAGTAACGGGCGGAATTCCACTGGGGTTGCTTGGTAACGGGCGGAATTCCGCTGGGGTTGCTAGGTAACGGGCGGAATTCCGCTGGGGTTGCTAGGTAACGGGCCAGAATCTGCTCATTTGTGAGTTTAAATTATGTGGGTTTTTTAAACAGCTCATTTTCTAGACACACGAAAAACGTGAGCTTATTGCCAGAAAATGTCTGGCTGTACTTTTTAACCACTTGGCCTGTTTTTGAAGCAGTTAAGATCCAAATGGTAGTACGAAAGTGACTGAAATAAAGTACAAAATGTGAACTTTGCACAATAAGTAATTTTCTTAAAGCAAGAACTTCCCTTCACTCAAGTAAAATGTTTTTATGTTTACAGGAATCCATTTTTGTCAGTTTATTTGTGCTTTAAGCACAAATAAACTGATGTTTGACTGATAGATGTTTGACCAGCTGGGTCTGATTGGTTTCTACTCACTCGATGAAGTAAACTTCTCCTTTCTCGGTGTAAGCCATCTCCCAGTTGTCAGGCAGCGGTCCTAGCTCGTCGTTCTCCTCCAGTTTGGGGATCACCGTCTTCGGGGACTGGCCGTCCTCCTGGGCTACTTCTGCCGGGGCCTCTGCCGGTTTACTCTGAGGTCCGACGTCCCCTGAAGCGTCTGTGCTCTTGTCTTCGTGCTCGCTTGACTCTGAGGTGACAACAAGGTAAGGATGAGTCAGGTTCGACGTTCTCAGACAGAAAGGACAAGAGGTGAGGAGAGTGAAAGACAACACGGGAAAGGCGAAAAAAAACCCCGGAGAAGTGACGGATTGAGGCATAAATATAGGAACGAAGGATTGGAAAAGGATAGGAGGCAGTGACTCAGGGGAAAGGCAGGGAGGTTAACGAGACAGAAAGATGAATAAAGGAGAGGAGACAGTAAAGATTGAGACAGAAGCAGGCAGAGATGCTCTACTTTGAGTTGTGGTGCTGTGTGAAGGTGTCACAGGAAGAAAAATGGGAAGCGATGGCAAGTGTCTCTTTCCCAGAGGAGATCTGGAGGAGGAGAGCGGAGTGAGGGGAACAAATGAAAGCGAAGGGATTGAGAGATAATCTATGGGAGGGAAAGTGAGAGTTAGTGAACTGCTCAGATCACAGAGACCGCTGTGCTCTATTGATTCCCCTTCAGCTGTGCTGGTCAGACCATACTGTCCATCCACAGACACACACGGCTGCTATTGAGCCGAGAGCAGCAGTAGGAAAGCTTCACATCCAACATGCCCAGAGGCTGAAGGTACTGAGCTTCAGTTAACAATATTTTCTGTTTTACTGTATTCGTTTTATCTCCCTGCTTTCAGAGTCATCGGCATCATTTAGAGCAAAATTTACATCATGGCCGCATATCGTAAGGCTTCCTTGAGATTACAGAAAGTTTCCAGTTTATAAGTCATTTCCAACTTGACAAATTCGACTTTTAACTCAAACCCAACTAGGTTTCTGTAAATCAGTGGAATTTTTTTTTGCAGCAACAAAATATGATTATTTTTGTTATTGATTAATAGGCTAATCTGATGATTAATCGATCCATTGGATAAAAAATATTGGCACATTCATTAATTTTTCACGTGTCTTAATATACAATATTATAAATACTTTAAAAGATTCAAATGAGCAATTTGATTCGTTTTTGAATAACAAATGAAAGATTTTTTGCCTAAAATGAAACAACATACAATTTCTTTAGTGAATGTTCACAACTAATTGAAGAGCTAATCTGTTGATTCTTTTTTGATTAACTGATTAATAATTGATAGCAAAAGGTGTTTATTACAAGTGTTTTTTCCCCAGAATTTAAACCAGGTGAAACCGATTAATCGGTTCAGCCCTACAACATTTAGACCAAATTTACATCATAGCTGCATATGTAAATTTTTCTTCAGATTGCAGAAAGTTTCTACAGTTGGTAAGTCATTTTCATCCTGATAATCCAATTTTCAACTCAAATCCAACGTGTTTTCTCAAGAGTAGCAGTAATTTTTTGCAGCTTAAACAGAAGGCTGTATTTTAGTTATCGATTAATTGGTTATTTGTATGATTAATCAACTAATCGGATAAAGAATTGGAATATTCTGCAGATTTTTTACTTGATTCTTTTTATACAGTACTAGAAATGCATTAACAGATACAAGTAAACAATTCAATTCCTATTTTTAATTCAGGAAATAAAGATTTTATTGCCTTATATGCAACAACATAGCATTTCTTTAGTGAATGTTTGGCATCAACAGGTTTACAGTTCAGTCTTGGTAGAGCTAATCTGTTGGCTAATTTTGGATTAACAAATCAATAATTCAATAGCAAAAGGTGAGGAGACATTGTGCTTTCCTTAATTCAAAACAGGTAAACCTATGTCACATGTGGAGTTTTAAGTAGAACATACAAAGGTTTTTCTTCATGTTTATTGCAAAATCAATATGATTTTTTTGGTACAGTTTTCACAGCATGTTTTTCTTTCTGCAAATTACATTACAGTCTGTAAGCTCCAGTTATTGATTAATCGATTGCTAAATTAGTTGATTATTTCAATAATCGATTCATCCTCACGATTAATCTGATTAATCGTTCAGCTAAAAAACATCATGATTGATGATAAAACCTCTATAAACACTATCTTAAACTAATTTAAGCTACTTTTTAAACATTTAGATTTAGACTTAACAGTAAAACAGCTAACATTCTTGGAAAAGGGAAATATAGCATCAAAGGTTTGAGTTTAGGAGATCAGAATGAATACATTTATTTATCTATGCATGGACATAATCTAAATATTCCACAGCTTACCTTGTTTGAGTTCGTTATGATAAGAAATCCAAAATCTCATCCTTTGACCAGCCGTCCTCTCTCTAAAAATCCACTTTGGGAATATTAAAATCTTTCTCCAGAACATTGAATTCACCAGTTGATCTTCCTGGACTTCAGATTTTTGGGTGCTGCCTCTGTGCAGCTGCGGACTCCTCAGGTTATAAAACCCTCCTTCGAAAGTCACAGGACCACAGAGTGGCTTAAGACTTAAAATAAAAGCTCATAATGCCTCCTTTTATGATCCTCCGTTCATGTGATCCAGGGATGCACTCGGAGGCTTTCTGCGTTTGAGAGTGTCTGAGCGTTTTTGTTGCTCAAAGCTCTGATAAGCCAAGGTTTAATTGTTTGTGCGTCTCTATCAAGGGAACCTATCAGGTATCATCTGCTGATGTAACCTCGGGAATCAACAGCGAGTCTTTCAAGGTCCTCTCCCATTAAAGTCAGTGTTTATCACGATAACAGCCAGAACATCCTGTTCTGTGTAATAGTCACTGTGTGATTTCAGATAAGTTTGAACAGCTAATAAAAAGCTGAGGGTGCATCACATTAAATGTGGTCTATTATGCTTCTTTCTGCAGGTTATGTCACGTCTATGGGTGATATAAGACATGTTCATCACATTTTTCTGTCCAAAATCATTTTTAGATAATGAGATTTTAGTCCTGTTCAACATTTACTCAACATTTATTAGTCACACGTGAAAATGGCTTCAAACATAAGCGCATATATACAATTGTACGTCTTTGAAAAGCAGAAGTGAAGCCTCCTGCACAACCAACAAGAATGCAGCAAGTGGTTTCTGGATGGTAAGTCAACAACACATCCCCTATTCCAACAACCATTGCACAGGAGACACAGTGGCAAAACCAGCTGACAAAATGTGCTGGAGCGCCACTTGGGTTGCTAGGTAACAGGCAGAATTCTACTGGGGTTGCTTGGTAACAGGCCAGTGTCTGCATATTTGATATAAAACGTGCTCATTACAATTTTCTGTGCAGAATCTTTCACAGATAATGAGATTTTAGTCTGGTCAGCTCTACATTTACTCAATGTTTACAGTCGCAAGAGAAAATGGCTGCAAACAGATGCACAATTATACAACCGTACACCTTTGAAAAGCATAAGTGGATCCTGCTGCACAACCAACAAGAATGCAGCAAGAAGTTTCTGGATGGTAAGTCAACAAGTGACAAAACACTTCTCTTCTCTAGCAGTTTTTCTGCAACTGGTTTTTCTGTTTTCTAAGAACCACAACACCTGCTGAGATACTAACTGGCCAACTTTCATCTTTTTTTTTTTCTAAAGTAGAAATTACAAATGAGAGAAAATATTTTTCCAAAAGTGTCTTATTTCAATTATCCCTTCTGTCCCTCGAATGATAGAGAATCAAAAATACAAAAATATTTAATTGTCAGGATCTATCCATAATATTAGCAGAAAAAGTAGTAACTTTACAAAAACAATGCCTTAAAAGTAGAAGAGAAAAATTGTTTAAATGATGAAAAGAAGCATATAGTTCTCAGGATGTGAGCAGATCAGTCCATGTAAATCTTGATTTTTGTTTTAAAGTCCTGCTAATGTTAGTGATTTAATGCAGATCAGATTTTTCTTTTAATTGTACCAAAGTATAACTTCGCAAGATGCTCAACATTCCTCCTTTTACGTTTCGTCATATGTTGTGTTGGACTTCTCGTACAATTACGACTTTATTCTCCTAATGTGAGTTCTTTTCTTGTAATTAAAAAACATATTGGTAGTCAAGATGGCCGCCGTAGACGCTGACATAAAAAAAAAAAAACAGATTTCCAAAAAGTAAATCTTCCAAAACGAAAGATTTTAACATCCGGCTCCAGGCGAAGTTAAACGATTTAACAAAGAGACGGATCAGAGCCTTATTTTCTAAAAAGATTCATCCGAGTTTGTTTTGTGCTAAATAAGTAAAGACTGATGACATCAGATCTGCGATTAAAGCTGATTTGAACCAGCCTGCAGCAGTGTGTGTGTGTGTGTGTGTGTGTGTTTGCCCTCTGGCGATTGGTTCTGATATCTTCTCCGATTCTCATGTTTTGCTGCAGATGTAATTACTCCGGAGGTAAATCCGTGCCATTATGTGAAGTGCATCAGCATTGACGAGTTAAATCGCCACTAACGGTTTTATTCTTTCCTCCTCTGAAGAGACTCAACTGAAGGATGTCTGTTACCGCTCCTGTTGCCAAGCGACCGCCTTTGAGGAAGCCGCGAATCGGGACCGTCGCGACAAAGCCGAGTCGACCTCGGCCTCCGCGGACGCCGTCGGGCTCTGACCTGGGGTGACGGCCACGCCGTTGCCGTTGACGGCGGGCTTCTCCTCGTCCTCCTCCTCCCTGGGCGGCTCGACGCCGGCTCTCTCCATGTTGCTGACGGACTTGTTCCGCTTCCTCTTGCCCTCGGAGCTGGGTCTGGCGCCCGGCAGCAGCTGGTCTGTTACATTTAGCAGCGGAGCGCTGGGCTCAGCTGGAGGCTTCGGGGTGCCGTAGAAGTTCTCTGGGAAAAGCAGAGAGAAATTCAGATTCTGGTGATTCAACTGATTTTCCTGCAGGCGCTGATCAATTTAGCTTTCAATCGTTTTTGAAGGAAGAACTAATATTAATCTTTTAAACCGATTAGAGATTTATGATGGAGTATTCAGGCTACGCTAAGAAAATAAAAACACTATTATGAGAAGTAAAAAAATGACAAGCATAAAGTTGAAATATTATAAGAATAAATTCAGAACATTACAAAAGTATTCTGGTGATGATATGACTTTTTTCTCAAAATATTGCAACTTATTTTTGAAGTCCTTGTAATAATATGCTTTTATTCTAGTATTATTTTGACAATTCTCACAATATTTCAACTTAATTCTTGTGTTATAACTTTACTCTTATACAAGTTTATTTTCACAAAATTTTGTTCTATTAATCAGAGTTTTGTAAACAACTTTGATGCAAATTAAATAACCACGACCAAAAAATATTTATTGTTATTTGGTTGATTTTTTTTTAAAAAAAGAGAGAATGTTCAAAAATCTTACACTTAAATCACTAAGCATAATTTAGAAGATGTTTATTTTAAATATTGAGCTCATGTATTGAAGTAAAGGCATTAAAACTGTATTAATCTTCATGTTAATTTTAGCTGTAGTAGTAATTAAAAATAAAAAAATAAAAACTGCATTGTATTTCAGTTTCCAAGCCACATTTTCCTTCAGATATTTTAGAAATACTATAGAAGTAAAATTAAAAAGTATTGAACTGTGAATAGGTGAAAGTCTACTATACATTACTTCAGTTTGAATTCAGTAAAAAACACAAACTAGTTTTAGAATCGCTCAGAAAAAATTGCATATAGTTGGAGACACATTTATGATGACTATAATTTGCCACTTAATGTCACATTTAATGTCAAAAACAATATAATAGAAAATAAAAAGCTTCTCAAAAACCTACTTGAACGATTTATTTTGTTCATGTTTTGATCTCCACAGCAATCACTTTCCAGACATGTTTGAATTTCATTTTGATAAATTTGAGCAAATCTTGGACTCAATAATAAAAGTTTTCTCTCCGTTTTCTTCTCTGCTCTTTGCCAAGTAGCAACAAACCTTTCCTCAGTCCTTTAAGTTGATTGCGCTTCGTTACAATAATTCGATTTGAGTTTTGGCATCTGCTCTGAAAGCCTCCATCCGCCGCTGTGAAAACCTGAAAAACTCTCTTTTTAATGATTCTTCAAACCAACACATAGTGTTTGCTTATTTTCTAGAGGTGGAATAAAGTGAGCTTGACAATTGTTGCCATAAATTTGTGCCAAAAGTTGTGCTAAATTAACAAAAACTAACTTTATCAGCAATTTCAACAACTTTCTTTAATTCTACACATTATTTCTGTTAGCATGAATGCTACTAATGTTTACTTCTGTAACTATGAATTTCATTACTTCTTTAAATATTAATGCAAATAAATTCAGTTACTTTTGTAAATATGAATGCTAGAAATGTTGCTAATTCTGTGTACATGGATGCTGAAAATACTACTTTTTGTAACTATGGATTCCACAAATTTCTTTACTTTAGTAATAATGAACACTTCCAATATGAATGCTATGAAAACATATTTACTTTTTTAAATAAGGATGTTTTAAATCCTATGTAAACATAAATATAAACCTTTCTTTCAAATAAAAATATAGATGCGACAAATATTTCTGCAAGTATGGATGTCACGTTTTAATGAGGAAAACAAGTTTAAATAAAAGATTTTTTGCTTTCGTTTTTACTTTTTTCATACAATCTTTACCTTTAAATGTTAAACAGAGACATATCTGGTAACCATGAAAATGTCAGAGTCTTAGAAGCTGGTAAGTATTTGAGTTTATCCTCAAAGGCTTTAGACGTCAGTGATCAGGAACCTTAATCGAAAGAGACCAAGTACGGAGCTCTGGCAGTGCCAAAAAATAGGATATATATATTTTTGTTGGTTTCATTTTATTTTTTCTGTAAAATGTGCCTACATTTGTAGTATTTCTTTTTTACACTGGAATTCCAAAAATTACACAATTAGGTAAAAATAAATAAATAAGTGTGGATATTTTAAAAAAATGTAGACATGTAAAAATAAGTTGATGATTAAAATCTTAGATTTAAATGTAATTTTCTAATTCAAAGATAGACATAGCTAGAGTTAGACATTTTCTATCAACTGGAATTGATTTTAAATGACATTTTTTAAGAAAACAAAGCTGTAATATACATTTTTCTTTAAAAGATCAAATGCTATATATAAAATACAAGAGTGGGCAAAAATTAGCTCCAGCCACAGACTTGTCCTGTAGTAGTTCATGGAAGGTTTGCTTTTAAGAAAGCTTATCTGCTCAGCAGCACCATGGTGCTCCTGGTAGAAAGATCATACATGAGAAGAGGACGTGTGAAAATCCACAGGGATTATTTTAATGCTCCGCGCTGAAGCATTAGTGACACCGCTAACACCGACTGCAGGAAAACACCAGGAGAAGCCAGAGAGACTTAAAAGGAAAAAAATTAGCTCGTGTCTCCCACTGCGGAAAAAAACCCCATTGACTTTGGAAGACATAAGGCCTCCACAGAGGAGCTGGGAAGAGATTATTGGGACTGTTGGGATTAACAGCCCCGTATAAATCCTGAAACCTGACGAGATTAATATTTGCCTCTGACAAGAAAGAAAGCTAACTTGCATAACACACACATGCCTCATGTAGCTCTGGTTCTGGAAACAAATTTAAATCCAACATAGGCAGGGATGTCACATTAAATTTCATTCTAGAAACCCAATTTTAGCCTGCATTGTCCATTCCAAATTAACAATTAATCGTGTTAAAAGTTGACCAAATAATTGTCAACTAACCTATTAATTGATTAATCATTAACTGGAGTATACAGGCTGAAAGAAAAGACCATTTGCTGAAATAAAACCTTAGTGAGAGCGGCAATTAAACCAGAACTGTACAAAAAATACATACATTTTGATGCAGAGTGAAGCAGAAATATTTGAGCTTTGCTCAAATTGATGTAAATGTTCAGTAAAGGAATGCTGTGTGTTGCATTTTAGGCAATAAAATGTTTATTTTTTGTTAAAAAAGGAACTGAATTATTGATTAAATGTATTTTTGATATTGAATAAAAAGTCTCAAGTCAAAAATCTGCAGAATGTGGCAATTTTAAAATCTGATTAATTGATTAATCATCAAGATACTTGATAGATTAATCAATAACTAAAGTAATCATTAGTTGCAGCCCTGATTTCATGTGTGTTTAGGTACATTGTTAAATCAGGGAACCTGATTGTGTGCAAATAAAATTTTTCACTTAAAAAGTCTTAAGTGTATCAATGTTTTAAATCTGATTAAATGATTAATCAATAGATTATTTGATAACAGCCTGAAAAAAGAGAAAATAATACTAAAACTAGCTTGTAAATAAATAAAGCAAACATTAAGCTTATTAAAAACATTTCTAAATCCAACAACCTCACCCAAATGTCATCAAGATACAATTTGTATTAAATTACATAAACTTCCCATTTTATTCTAAATAAAGCATCATTCATCATCAAAGTTGAGTACAAAATCATGCAAAAGAATCTTGCATCATATGTCTCCTTTACGAACAAGATAATGAAATAAGTTTATTTAATGTTTAAAATGGAAGTAAAAAGGCCTGGAATTTGGAGATGTCTTGGTATGAATGTGTTTAAGGGACTATTTGACCCCAAAGAAGGAATGAACACTTTTTTTTAAGGTGTTTAAAAAAACACCTTAGTGTTTTTGTCCAGCTGAAAAACACAAATCAGGGAGACGTGAGCAGAATGTTAAAATATCTCCCCAACAAAGAGCTGTGAATGTGTGAGGCTCTGTTGTAAATTGTTCCTTTTAACAAATCTTTGCTGCTGTAACAAATTATTCCAAGTACTCTTCCCTTCAAATTTGATCCTTTATCTCTTTATTCTTCATCTAATTGGCTATTAAATCATTAAAATACATAAAATGCTGAATGATGGCAAATCAATTACACAGAAAAAATCTCAGCCTCTCTCCCCTCTGTGGAAAACAGCTTCCATCGCCAAAAGGATCTGACAACCCCCCTGGCAGTGGCATTAAACTGCGCTTCAGAAATTTAATTTTCTTCTTCCATTCTCCAGTTTGCAGCAGCAGACTGAGACTGGAGTCATGTGGGAGGAGAAGAGCGTTGTCTGTGTATTGGCAGGGTTTGCTGGAGTCGGAGGTCGTCAGGCGGACCAAGGGAAACATTTTGAGCTGCGTTTAAAATCAGAGTGTCCAACCTATCTGACCACCCAACAGAACATGTGCATGTTTTGGTCCAGAAACCGAAGAGCTGCTGCAGCTCAAGGTCCAGGCCATGAGAAAGGCATCATGAAGGTGCTGCGGAAGTGCGTGTGTGGGCTTTTTTCTCCACTGTTCAGTGTTTACAGATTCCTGTAAGTGTCCTTGATGAATAATGACTGTCTCTCCTCCACAGAGCTAAAAGATGGACGGATGAATGTAGAGCTGGAGAAAAAAAATGGATTAATAAACCCCCCGTGATGCTATAGTGAAGCTAGTGATTATTTTAGTTATCGATTAATCAATTATTCTGATGATTAATCGGATAAGAACTTGGCACATTCTGTTTATACAATATCAAAAATACATTAAACGATGCAAATAAGTAAGCAAATAAAAAATAATGCGACAACAAAGAATTTTTTTAGTGAAGACAGATGTTTTTTTATTAGTCATAAATACAAAATGTATGTATGTTTCATACCGTTTTGTCTTAATCAGTCCTCTCAGTAAGTTTTTCTTTCAACAAATGTTCCTTTTTTAGAGTCTGTACACATCAGTTAATGATTAATCAATCACTGAATTAGTTGACAATTATTTGAATAATCAAATTAATCCAATTAATAATTTCAGCCTGACATCAAAGCTGGTTTTGAAATGGCAAAAACAAGTAAATGATTAATCGATTACTAAATTAATTGATGACTATTTCAATAATCGATTAATTGTTTCAAACCTATTTGAAGCATGTCTTCTGCAAAGAATCAAAAATGCTACAAAGAAGAATTACACTCGTGTTGTCTTTTCTGTTGTCTTTTCTGAATCCTCACCTTCATATGTTCCACTCTCCAGCAGAGCGCCGCTTTTCTCCAATTCCATAAACCGGTCGACGGTCACAAAATTATAATCCACGCCTGGGACTTCTCCCTCCCTGGGCTGCCGAGTCGTGCCTAATAAGAAACAGAAAACAGCGGTTCAAGCTTCACTGCTGTGAAACGGAGCAGAAGATTCACTTGTATAGAATAATGTGGAACATTATTACTCTCACACTCTTAAAACACCAGCAAGCTACACCGGATTGGATGCTTAATTATGAAACATACTGGTGTAAAATCATAACGCTGATGTTCATTCACCTCTTTGATGGGTCCATGCATGCGGCCTAAATCCATTTTATACATTTAATCAATCATGTGTCATCTCCTTTTGCCTCCACAATAATAAAACCACAAATAAAAACCCAAATTACTAAAGAAAACTGAGAAGATTTTGAAAGGAGATTTCATCTCCATCTACAACATTCAAAAGTAAGATTAGTAATCCTGGCTATGCTGATGATACACAGCTCTACATGATGATGTCACCGGGTGAGTCCAAAACCAAACTTTAACTAAATGCTAAGAACAAATCAATGCGTGAAAGCGCTATAGATTTCTCCAGATGAACAGAACAAAACTGAAGTCGTTACCTTTGGACCAAAGAGAAAAGATCAAGAGTCAGCTTAAGTTGTTACTGCTGGAAACTACAGATCAGGCCTGAAAATCGGGTCTGAACCTTCAGACACACATAAAGACAGTTATAAAACCAGCCTTCTATCACCTGAAGAATGTTTCTGGGATTAAAGGACCAATGATGCAGTAAAACTTAGAGAAACTAATTCATATGTCCTTACACCGGCTCCCTATTGCTAAGTAATTTATTTAAAATACTTTATATTTTGTAGAATCGTATTTAAAATAATTATATTTTGTGTATAAATCATTGAATGGCTGAACACCAACATACATTAAGGATCTGCTGTTGTCAAAGCAACCTTTCGGACCTCTCAGATCTTCTGGTTCTGGTTTTGCTCTGCATCCAGCAACAGAACCAAACATGGACAAGCAGCATTCAGCTTATATGCACCACAAATCTGGAACAAACTTACAGAAAACTGCAAAACAGCCGAAACTCAGAGTTCCTTTAAATCTGGACTAAAACAGATTTGTTTTGAGTTTCCTTTGATTAACAACTGGAATATTGATCAACACATTTCAGGTGTTTTCCTGATAACTTTGATGAAAGCATTTGACAAAACATGATGTTTATTGATTGTTTTATAATTGGTGAAATGTGATATACAACTCTAAACTTGATCTGAAAATGTGATAAAGGATAAACTGATCATTTCCACAGTAATTGCTGAATAGATTTGCTCATTACTGCCTAAAATGATCAAACTTTGGTTGATGTTTCAGAATGACCCTTAGCTGAACTGCACTGACCCCGGTCCGTCTCTTTATTGAACGTCTTCTTTATTCCTTTTTGTCCTTTTCTCTACTGCAAGGCAAAGGTCGACTATTTGAGCTTTTAGCCAGTGGAGGAAAGGCGAAGCACCAATTTAGCAGCTAAGTGATGCAATTTGGACACCCAGAGGTGAAATCTAGTCCATTTGCATGGAGGTGACAGCATGTCAAAGACTTCCTGACAGGAGGCTCCGCTAATAACAGCAATATTCCCCTCTGCACTGCGACGTCTTGACTCAAGTTTACTGACATGTAAAGATCTTCCTGTAGTTACTTAAAAAATATTTACAGCATCAAATGCGGTACAAACAACTTCGTAAATGTTCCGTCTTTGCCTTGTGCTAATTAGACTTGTTAAAGCTGATCCCAGCTGTGACGGCGCACAGCGCTCTACCCCGGAGCTGCCGAATGGGGTTCCACATCTGAGAACATTGTTCAAACTAAAAACAGAGCCTGCATGCTCCGTTTGTTGGGACGTACAGAGAGACACTGTAAATAGTTACTGTTTAATTGTGGAAACACAACTGGGGGATGAAAATAAATACGCCATCCATATGTTTTCAACTCTCAAGAGTCGTACAGTTTTGTTCACTTTAGACTAAGGCAACGTTCACACAGCAGGACTAAATGCTCAATGCAGAGTTTATTTTTTTGCATGGTTGTTTGTATTACTAATTAAATGCAACTGTGAATAACCTCAAACGAAGACGTGACACAGCAGCACTCTGTTTAATGGCTGCCATCCATGGGTGGATTTTAAAGTTGTTGAGCAATAGGAACAGATATTATTAATTATTATTAAAAGAAAATTAAAAACAAAAATCCATTTTATGCTTTTTTTTTTAAATTTACAACTTTTGACATTTTAGGCAATGTGTGAGCATTTCTCCTCATTTTGCTTTGTAGAGTTTACAATTTTAGGTTAATATATTGTTCTTTTTTAAAAAAAAAATTCTATCCTTCATCTTATCTGCTAAAGAGAGGCGTACAGATTCATCTTAAACAAATAAAATATTAGGTTTATGTTTTCAGTCCAACACAGATCTAATGTTTTGGATTGCTTTGTTTCCATTTTCAGAGGTTTTGTTCCAGTCTAAAAAAGTTGATTATTCATGATTCATTTTTGGGCTGAGGAATGATCAGGGCCTCCCGTAGGCCACTGGTTGTCAAATATTTGAGGACATTTTTTCAAAAGGAAGATTGAAGTTTAAAAAAAACGTTTTTTTTTCAGTCTTTTTAAAGTTAATGTTGAAGCAACTAATTAAATATGATAGACGACCCACTGATGAAAGCTACCACTTTCTAAAACTTTGTCTATATTTAGTTGGGTGCTAAATAATGCACTTTTTAACTGAATAAATGAGACTTTAATAATCAAAGTTTTATTTCAGTTGAACTAAGGTCAGCAGAGCTAATTCAGGAAGCTTTTAAATGGTTATTTTAAGCTCTGATTCATTTGACTCAATATTTCCAATCTCAAATGGTGAACATTCATGACCACCTTCTGTGAGAACCACCAAGTTTGAGTTTAAACGAATAAAACAACTGATTAATGCCCCATTTAAATCTGTTTAAATCACTTAGAAAAAATACTCTTGAGCAGTATCAAATGTTAAGTAAAGGCCAATTTCATAAAATATCTTAAGATTATGCAGAATTTACGTTTTGAATGTTTTTGTGCTTTTTGGTTTTCAACTGCTTCTAGAAATAGTACAGTTATGGAAAGTAGCTGTACTTTTCATAAAATCAAGAAAATTATGGACAACCGTGTCCATCCATGGCATGCGACTCTCTTGTGAAGACAGAGTACCTTCAGTCAGAGGCTTCTTCAGATTCACTGTAATACAGACTGCTATGAGAAATCTTTCCTGCCAACAGCCGTCACCTTTTTCAATAACTCTTTGAAGAATTAAATTAATGAGTTACAACAACATTTAATTTCCCTTTGGGATTAATAAAGCATTTTTGAATTTGAATATGAAAACTAGCTGAACAAACCTGCTGGAGTTTAGCATGGGTTGCTAGGTGATGGGCGGAACTCTGCTGGGGTTGCTAGGTGATGGGCGGAACTCTGCTGGGGTTGCTAGGTGATGGGCGGAACTCTGCTGGGGTTGCTAGGTGATGGGCGGAACTCTAATGGGGTTGCTAGGTAACATGCAGTACCTGCGGATTTGCAACCTTACATTGCATAAGTTTTTGAAACGTATAATTTTTTGCCAAAAAAAGACTGCTGGGTTTTCCCCGACTGGGAGCGTTAACTCAGCCTGTTGAATGTGACCGGTGGCCAATCAGAAAGCTCGGATTTCCCTCCGTGTTTTCTAAGGGGAAATTATGGAGGGAATCCCAAACAGCTGACGCAGCGCAACCCAAAGTCCAGCGGACACTGGAGGTGATATATAGAAACAACATTAATGTTTAGTCAACATTTCGTGCAAAGAATATAGAAATAAGGAGAAGAGTTGAAGCGAAATCGCTACTGCAGTTGAAAAACCGAGCAACTTTTCAGCTGTTCATCATCAACATGGCATAAATAGGTAACAATGATATTCATTCAGTCAGGACTGATGCTAGCCACATGCATTGCAGGTAGATTATTGTAAAGCATTGATTAATGCCTGGTTTTAAAACTAGTCAACTGGACTATTATTTTGTGCCCATTGTTGGACACCACACGGCGTGATCGAACCCGATCAAACCGTTGTATCCAGGATTTCTGCCAGCTAATGTGTCTCTCAGGTTTTGAAAATGGACCAAGATCGTTTAGTTTGCGCTGGAGAATCTAAGGATGCAAAACAAAGCAAGAAACATGTTTTTTTATTAGTCATAGACCTATCCGAGGTCACCTGTGAAACAGCAACCAATGACCAGATGATCATCTGATAACAACTGAAACTATGCTTTTTTACAACCCTCTTCCTCAACAGTCGTCTTATTTTTTCCAAGCACATGATCCGGATTCCAGTATCACATGAAATAATATGAAAGCCGGTTTGCTCTCCTACCTGCTTGGAGAACCCTTCAAAGCAAAATCAATAAAGCAGAACACACAGGGAGTGATTTGTTAAGGCTTATGAGAACAAACAAGCAGCAGGGAACGAAATAAGAGAAAGTGATTGTCTGAGCATGTGTCGCAGCTCCAGAGGAGAGCTTGTTGATTGTGTCTGTCGGCACGGCGGGGGCGGAGGGGAGATAGGGGGTTGTGTACCTCTCAGATTAGCCTTCCTCCAAGGCAGAGCTACTGACTGAGCAGCAAACACACACACAGACATATTTTCAAAGACCTTTGATGCGGCAGAACTATATTTAGCTGTGTGTGTGTTTTTTATAAAGAGTTCATCAATTTTTGACATAATCTGTGACTCTGTAGAGACGGAAAGACAGAACGACTTTAAATGAGTTTATCATTTCTAGAACAACTACATTACAGAAATAAATATATTTGGGGAAAATCAAATGACCATCAGTGCAAATCTCAACAGGTAGATTACAGGATAAATACTCTGCACATAAACCCATGCAGCAAAATATGCTAAAAGTACTGTAGTATTACAAAAAATAAAATATGAAAAAAGTCATAATGTTACTAGAATGACCTCAAAAGAGAATATAGTCAAAATAAAGTTATAATTTTAAAGAAATAAAGTTGTAATTTTACCAGAATAATG